CACAACTGGTAAAAATACTTTAATCCTAAATATATCTTTAGAAATATCAAATCTGCGATCACCGTCAACCTCTCCAAATACTCTTTTACAAAATTTAGATCTCGAAGAATGGAAAGAAATGTCAATTCTCCATTTATCGCATAATCGTTTTGATTCCAAATATATTGTGCTGTAGTAATTTTGTAAATGTTGCATATTTTGAATAGTTTTATCCAGAAGCATTGATGCATTTTCTAATGAAATATTCGTACTTTGTAAAATCTTAGATACAGTATTTAAATATCTTAAAATATTTTCCCAGATAAATAAAATTAATACAAATTCACTTGATTCTATTTTATTTTTAAGTGCTTTACTCATATCACGTTCATCTTTTTTACCACTTGTAAGTGACATTATAGTTAAACATTTGATTACATCGATAAACCGCTCTTTTAATACAAATACTGCAGTATGCCTAAATTCCCATCGGGTAGAGCACACTTTTTTTAATACTCTTCTCCTAATTTTTGATGCTGTGTTATCTCCTAATGCTAATGACGCCCATATTGGGCCATTTGAGTTAAAGAAATTTAATACAGAATGTAGAGTTTCAAAATGTCTTGATATGCTTGGTGAAATTTTAGAGGCATCAGATATCACCAAGTTTAAGTTGTGAGCACAGCAGTGGACAAATAATGCAGTTGGAACAATATTATTTATTCTCTTTTGGACTCCTGAGTATTGACCACTCATAACCGATGCTCCGTCATACCCTTGTCCTATACAGTTTTTAATTTTTATATTATGTTTGTGTAAAACATTTTGTATCAAATGCGCATAATCCATTGATCCATGTTGTTCTAAAGCATAGAATCCTAAAAATGATTCTTTAATATTTATTGTATGTGTTTCATAGTCAACAATCACATATCGTATAATGACACTCACTTGGTCGATTTTTGTTATGTCTTGAGTTGAGTCTAATATGATTGAGAAGAAGGAACAACTAATTATTTCTTCACATATGATATGACATAAGTTTTCAGATAAAATGTCGATCAATTCATTTTGAACTTTCCAACTTAAATATTTAATATGTTTGGTAGAATCATTTAAAAGTTCATGAAGTAATGGGTTAAAATCGGCTAAAAGACGAATTGTTCTGTTCACATAAAATTACCTTCAAGCTCTTCAGGCTTAAAATCGCTTTTCTTACCTTCATTCCCTCTCAAAGCAGTGTTTCCTGCTGTGAGGGTTAATAGAACTTTTATAATGCGACGAAGAATATTTCGCTAATATTCAGCTTCTTTAGATATATGTTGTTCTATACTTTTATCAATTGTAGTATTTTTAACCCAATTTCCTCTTACTGTTGTGGCTTCAATATGTTGTAGAGATTTTTCATGAAGTTATTTTTTTTTTTTTTTATTTATTGGTTTAAGGATTCTCTAGGCCATTTTCTTTTTAGTCGTCTGATAGGGTTTCCTGGTATAGTTAGAGAGGACATTTGAGAGATAAGAGGGTTCTTATTTTTTGATAGTTTGTTGTGAAAAATTTTATAGTATTGATGGGCTAATCTTTTTGGTGTTGGAATATTTAAATCGTTATGTAGGTTTTGGTTTGTGACATACCATGGACACCCTGTGATTACACGTAGACTTATTGACTGGAAAGCTTCTAGTGGGCGGATGTTAGACAGCTTGGCCTGTCCCCATATTTGGATGCCGTATGTCCAAATGGGAGTTAGTATAACTTTGTATATGAGAATTTTATTTTTTAAACTAAGTTTAGATTTAAAAATTGGGCGGAGAAGATGAAGGCGCGCGTTGCATTGCTTTCTTTTCTTTGTGGTATGTTCTTTCCATGTGAGTCTTTTGTCAATAGTTATTCCTAAATATTTTATTGAGCTTGAGTTTGGTAAAGGGTTATTATTTAGTACTAAGGGAGGGCATTCTCTCCGGTTTAGGGTGAAATTGATCTGTGTTGATTTAGTTTGATTTAGTTTGATTTTCCATTGGTTGGTCCATGAGGAAATTAAATTGAGATGGTTTTGTACTTTTTGTGTTGCAATTTGGGGGTCATTGTCTGATGATAGAATTGCTGTGTCGTCAGCGTAGGTAGCTAAAATGGTATCTGTGGTTTGTGGAATGTCATAGGTAAATATATTATATAGAATAGGTGAAAGATCGCTACCTTGGGGAACTCCTGCTATAATTTTGTGGTAGTTTGACATCGAATTTCCGTGTCTTACTGCGAAAAATCTCTCTTCTAAGTATGATTTGAGTATAAGATAGTAAGGGGCGGGTAAAAAAAGTTTTGATTTAACTAGGAGGCCATCGCGCCACACTCTGTCAAATGCCTGGGATACATCGAGAAAGGCTCTTGGGCAGTATTGTTTTGTTTCTAATGATGACGAAATGTAGTCAGTTAATCTATGAACCTGGTGGATTGTAGAATGGTAGGACCTAAAACCAAATTGGGTATTTGGTATTATTTTTTTTTCGGAAACAATTGGAGACAGTCTTTTTAAAAGCAGTTTTTCAAATAATTTACCACATGTTGGTAGAAGACTAATAGGTCTATATGAGTTAACTCTATGTTAAGGTTTATCTGGTTTAGGTATCATTATTATGACAGAAAATTTCCATATTGGAGGGAAATATGAGAGTCTTAACATTGCGTTATATATAATTGTGATAAAGAGTATAGATTTGTGGGAGAGCTGTTTTAAGATTTTATTTGTTATTAAGTCGTACTCTGGAGCTCTATTTTCAGGTATTTTGTTTATTTGATTTTTAATTTCTGCTGGGGTGATTGATTTTAGTGGTTACTGATGATATTGTGACTGGGGTGTGGTTTAGTTTTACTAGTATGTTTGTAGATTGTAGAAAGTTTTGTTGGTACTGTGGGAGAACATTATGTTCGATATCTGTTGAAACTAAAATTGCAGTACCTGCGTGGGCAGTACCATCGGGATGGTCTGTTCGATATAAAATATATCCGGGTATACGTATACTTTTAGTGGGTGTTAGATGGGTTTCTGTAATTAATGCTATGTCAATTTTTCTTAATTGAAGTATAATTTGGAGTCCATTAGTGTGTTGGATTGTACCATTTGCATTCCAAAGGAGTACTGACAGAAGAGATTCTGGATTGATATTAGTTGACATTTTTCAATAGAACTTTGTTAATGACTGTAGTCAGTAGTGATATTATAAGAGGAGTTATTAAATTTTTAAATTCAGTTAAGAATGCAGATAATTGTGAAGGTAGGTCATTTGGGTATGAGAAATGTTGAGGATTTTCGGAGAAATTCGGTTTGAGTAGCGGATGAGTATGAGTGTTTAGTATTTTCAAGATCAATTTCAGAGGTGCTATTAATAGTTTTACCTGGTACAGTGTTTGATTTTTTTCCCGAGTTTGAGGTGTATTTTTGTTGATGAGGCTGTTGTTTTCTTAGTTGTTGAAGGTTTTTGAATACCGTACATCCACGGTAATTTGCTGTGTGATTATTTCCGCAGTGAGCACATTTAGCTGGAAGTTAGCACTTTTCGTACAAAAGGTGTAGCTGTGATTTTCGCGATTAATCACTAGCAGTCCTGAAATTATTTATCTCTATTTTAAGATCCAATATTTCCATTCGATTAAGTCATCAGATTAAGGAAAAGCAGATTAATTTAAATTGAGTATTTTATTGTATAAGATTAATATGTTTAAGTGTAAATAACTAAAATTTAATTTCTGATGTTTTCAAAATTATAACTTCTTGATATCTTTATCGTTTCTAATTTATTTTTTTTTTTTTGTTTTCTCGTTGATTTATTGAGCTTTTCAATTGTAGATTCCCATTTTTCATAAGTTTTAAATACACGATTTGTTCGACAAATATGGCCACATTTAGTTGATTCACAAGTTTTACAAGGATAGAAGCATCCGGGACATTCAAGTTCTTTGCAATCGCATAGATCATTTGTGTTGTTTTTATTACATAAACATTGTTGAAATTCCATGTTATTTGTAATTATTTAATTTTCTTTCTTGAATTTTTCGTAAATTTGGAATAGATACCTAACAAAAATAATTACATTTTAGAACAATTCATACATTAAAAGTACCAGTATTAACAATAATAATAATAACAACAAAACTTGTATAACAATAATAGCCGAAGTATTTTTTACGTAAATACTAGCTACAAACTCATAAGACCAAAAAGTAACCTACCTCTGGGTCATTTTTATTTATAGTAATGGTTATTTTTTTATGATTAATTTGAAAAAAAATATGATTAGGTGTAATCTCATATTTTACATTACCTACCTTTAAATTATTTTCACTTTTATGTTTAGTGTTGCAACTGTTATTCTTACTAACTTATGATTTTAAAAAGGAGACCTGTTATAAAAATTCCATAATTATATGAATTTAGAGTTGAAATAAATTTGATGTGAACATTTTTAATTTTCATTAACTATTCACGAAATGGATCACGGATAATTTTGCAGGTAAGAAAGGAAGAAGTGGAATATTATCCAGACGCTGAAACATAAATAAAGTTATTACCTATAGGAACTTTTTATAACAAAGCGGATAACGATAAGACAATATTTTAAAAATAAATTCACATAAATTAGTTGCTGAAAAATTTAAAACCGTGGCACATGTGAGGGGAGAAAATGAGGGTGAATGATCTCTCCCACCCCTAGAACGTTTTTACAGAGATAAAATAATTATAAAAATAAATAAATAAAAAATTAATGATTGTTTAATTTTTCATCCAGAAATCGTGTTTTAATCATTAACACTAAGAGTGAATTTTGATAGAAAATTGTGTCTACCACGTGCATAAGACTAGTCCCTTTTTGATTTTCTTTTCGTTTTTCTTAATAATAGAGGATATCGGAAATAGATTTTAAAAAACAAATTTATTGGTGGAAATTTATTGGGGGTAGCAAAATTAGTTAATAAAATGGGAAAAATTGTATATAACATACTGTGACAGGGTGGCTAACATTGAAAGAGTTGTTAAAAATGTAGATATTCGCCTAGGGTGGTAAAATACCTTAGACCGGTCCTGATTCTGATACTGTTTAAATTATTTATATCAATTTTAAATTTTCGAGTGTAGATACAATTGTTTGGTTACTCAACCAATGATCGAATATGTGATAAAAAGTTTGTAAGTATCATTATTTTTTCGTTTTTATTAATTCAAATTTATGATAAAATTCGAAAAAACAATTGTAATTTATATTTTGTTAAAAATTAATAAAATCTAAATTTATCAAAAAATGTTTAACCAAATTCCGCTCTTAATCGTCTGCAATGATTTTTTGTTTTTTTTTTTTTTTTATCAAAGCTCTAGTATGTATAGTTGTACACAATATTTGTTCTACATAGGTACCTTTCGAAATTGTTATTACTATCCAATGATTTGAATTTTGACGCTGTTTATTAAGACATATAAATGAAAAATATTCTAACCTTCAATGAAAATTTCACTGTTGTTCATTTGTATCAACTACAAGAAAGTCAGTCATAAGCTGTAGACCGTGTGTGGCCAGTAGCTTATATCAATTAAAGATGTAGATAGGTATGGTAAGTTATACGATTTCAATATAATAACACATTGATAAAATTAATGTATTTTATCATATTTATTTAAGGTGATATAAGATTCAATTCCTGAAATGTTCATATAATTATTATTGAATTTCATTTGAACTACAAAAATTGAAAATATTTAAAATACGTTTTTGAACTTGTATTTTTGTGACTAAAAGAAGTAATTGATGTTTTTCTGTATGATCTACAGTAATCTAATATAATAATCTAATTGTTTATCATTGGGAAGGATACTCCCCCTTGACCAATTTTATTAGAATCTATTATTACTTATATGGTTTCTTACTTTTTAAATTCAAATTTCTCTATTTTTTAACCAGAAAAAAATCATTGGGTCATTTACCGACCACAATTGATAAAATCTATGATTTACAGATAAATCCTAGGTTTTTCCGGTATTCGTTCCTCTACCGTAACATATATATACAGTATGTCCCACAGATTTTTCTAGCGTTGTTAATAAAAACATTTTTTCGATTTTTTTTTTTTTTTTTTTTAATCGGTTTGTCTTCAAGGGGAAATTGATTTTTATAAAAATTAAATTTTTATTTTCATCTACCACACAAAAAAAAAAAATCACTTAATTTAGAAAATATTCAAAATAGTAATTTTGTAGAAATATTATTCTAAAAATTTTAATCATACATTCATATCCGATTAATAGTTTCTTAATTATAGCCGTTTTAATTTCTAGAAAATAGGTGTGAAATCAATTAATATTCAATAGAAGGTAATAAATTACCGTGTTGATTGTAATTGTTATTTTATTGAATATTAATTGTTTTCATATTAAAATAATGGTTTTTTGAAGATTTAATTTTATATTAGTTTCAGTAGTATAGCATAGAAATTATATTCTTGTAGTCTCTATAGAACTGATGCAGAATTTAATTTATATGTAATCTGTAGGTAGTATTTTATAGCAAATATTATAGCTTACCAAAATATTCCTACTTATTTTTATGATGTACTATATAATATTAAACGATCACCTACTTTTGATTTTCAAATGACAACCTATTTTGAAAATTCCTTAAGAGAAATTGTAAGGAGCTTACAGAAAATAACGGCAGAAATTGATCTGTATACCCGCCCAAAAAAACTAATACGCCTAGAGTTGAAAAATACCGATGTTGCTAAGAACATAAAACATGGTGACTTGAAACTAATCCGTCGTTCAATATATTGTGTACGAAAAAAGCATTTTCCCACTCTACCATCAAACTTTGACGAATCGTTAAAGCAACTTTTAGAAATGAAAAAAACGTTGTTGCATAAAGGTAATCAATTTTGTTTTTCAAGTCACGATAATTCTGTTATTTTATTTACCTGTAAAAATAACTTGGAAGTGCTTTGTGATAATGAATACGTATTTGGTGACGGAACTTTTACGTATGCACCAAAACATTTCATGCAATTGTATACAATTCATGTTTACACAAATTATTATAATTTACTTTTAGTATGCTGTTTTTTGAAAAATAAACAAATATCAACATATGTGTCCATGTGGAAAACCATAATGAACTTGTCAATGCAGTTAATAGGAAAAAACTTAAGTATAAAAATATTTCATGCAGATTTTTAAAAAGCTGCACACATTGCTGTTTTTCAGAGTTTTCCGCAGTGTAAAATAGTATGTTGTAAATTCCATTTGGGACAAAGTTGGTTCAGGCGTTTGAAAAAAAAATAAAATGTTATTAAAAGAATACGCGAAAAATGGTTCTGAAATCGGAAGATGGCTTAAATACTTGTTTGGTTTACCTTATTCAAACTCTTATGAAGTCCCAGACGCATTTACTGAAATAATTTCAATAGCTCCTTGTAATATAAGTACGGGTTTTACAGACTATATATTAAAAAACTATATTGATTTCGATGCTGATTTTGGGCCAGTATTATGGGTTAGTGAACCAGACAATAGCCCAAGAACAACGAACGGGGTTGAAAACTTTCACATGCACTTCAATAGTCAATTTTATACCTCCCACCCTCACATTCACCAAATTATTCAAATATTAATGAAAATTCAAGTTGATACTGATTTAAAAATAAATTCATTCAAAAATAAATAAAGAAAATACCCGTGGAATAGAAGTATTAAAAAACAAAATTATATTCCGATTACAAATCCAAAAAAATTGATCTTTTAACATTTTTAATGCAAACGTGTAGCTAACAAATAAATATTAAATATGTATTTAAAAATTAATTAAATAATGTTTTGATAAGAAAAATGATTGTAATTATAATTTGTGCAATTTGTAAATTTTAATGACATTTTTGTAAAAATAATTGTACCCAACTAAAAGCAACGCCTGATAATGAAAATTTAATCATCAGTACCACATTGGATCAAAGTACGAATAGCAATTTTTTTTTTTATTTTTTTCTTCAACATCCTTCAACAACAACTGATCCTGATGATATTTTCGAAGAAAATTGTATTACTAGTGAAAATGAAGATATTTCTGAAATACCATTTATAAAAGATATAGGCAAAAAATCTGCTCTGAATGGTTGTTACGCATTTTATTTAATTATTTCAACATAATAATTTAACTATTAGTTTCTTGTAACAGAATACAAATAATAATTTTTTTATTTTTAGATAATTCAGATGATTTTTTTTGAAAAAAATTATATTTTTGGTGAGAATGAAGATATTTCTGATATACCATTAGCAAAACATGTAGATAAGAAATCTGCTCTAAATGGTAAACATTATCTTTGATAATTCAACATAATTACATAATAATTTGTATTAATCTAAGATAAAAAAAATAAGACTTATTTTATCTTCATAAATAGCATGTACATTTTTATCGAAATTATTGCTTTACACAATTTTTCTCCTTTAATATAAAAAAGACGGGCGGATACAGGTTTGGATGTAGCCACCATTGTAGGTGAAAAGTTGGAAAGGTACAATACATACGGTTATTTAATTACCACGTCTACAAACACACTATAAGTTTTCTTGCCAAGCACCAATTATAGAAAATTTAATTTCAGAAAAGTTGTAACAGTGGATCTTACTTTTAACTAAAATATCTAGGAGAAAAAATGTTGACAGAACAAAAGAAAAAGAAATAAACATCATTAAAAATCCGATACATTCTTTGCTATGCTCAGAATCTAAAATTATACTGGTTACTTATTGTGGTTATGGTTTAAATAAATAAATAAATGAAACTTAATTCCATAAAAGTACAATTTTTTTATAGAATTGACTTTGTTTATTTACTCTCCTTGAAATTTAGTATTTTATTTAATAATTTCAGTATTCTGTTGTGAAAAAATTGATCAACTAAAATCTCTGATCGATAAAAGATCTAAAAATGACAATCAAATTATGACTCAATTAATGATGCTTAATGGATCTAACACCAGAATTACAACAGCCCTTCAACGTTTAGATAATAAAGTGCATAAAATAATGACAGCTGGTATCAGAATATGTACGTTAGCAATACCAGCACCATCAATTCCATCACCATTTATCGATTTCTTGTCTATAAAATGTGAAGAAGATATTTCTATAATAAAAGAATTATTAACACCGACTGCAGAAAATAATGCTTTACAGTAAAATGAAGAATTGGTAATTGATAACTCTATTATTATTAGTAACAATAAGAATTTATTTTAATAAAAAATAATTTTATCATTATTTGTTGCTATCAATTTTTTTTGTTTACCCGATTTACAAATTTCAGAAAACCTGCCTGAATTTAAAATTCAGTAACCTAAATCATTTTATTACGTTGGCACAGATTATAAAATATAATATATGTACATAATATTTTGTATTAACATAATAATAGGTTACAACATCAATTATTTATAAAAATATTGTCAGTTTTAAGCATTATAGGTATTATGTAATACAATAGGTAGATATTATTTCAATAAGTATAACTATGTAGCAAATAGCATATAGTTTACATGAGTGCTGTTAATTTAAAAATAATATTAGGTAACCATTAATATGGAAAGTTGTTTTTTTATTAAATAAATAGATATCAAACTATTTTTTAAGTTTAAATCATTGATGTTGTAACCTAATTCAACTTAACTAGAAAAAAACATTTTAAAATAAAACATATAAATAGATATGTAATTTTGATAATAGTTTTTCTCCTTGCAGTTGATTGAACTTGATTTTTGTCAAAGCTTCTTTAAAATTAATTTGACTATCTAAAAGTAGACACTAAAAATCTTTAGGTGTAATACAATAAAATACTGAATATTACAGTTAAAAAGAATTAAAAATAATTATACACACCTAATTAATTTTTTCATCTAGTAAAATATTAAAATACAATAATTGTATTTTGATTTGTTCCAAATTGCAAATTGTACTTCAAATAATACTTCAATTTATTAACCTAGCTATTATAATATTGAAATTTTACCCACACAATTTCATCTTTATTTTATGGTTCCCTTGAAGAAAACAAATTAGCATAATATTTTTAAATTTATCCAACAAAGTTCAAATCATCAAGCTAAAGATAATTTTAGTTAATTTATATTATCTTAGATCATTAATATGCTGAATTTTAGTATGAAAAAAATATGGCTGGTACAGTTTTATGGTGTAACTTGATTGTAAATCAAGCTTGGTAGTTGTTATCAAAATATGAATAATATTGATAGGTATAACAAGTCAGTAATACATATTCGGTATTCAATACACATTAAAACACCTGAAATCAAAAAATACATAATAATATGTATTTTAATATATTTTGTACAGCTATCTAGCTAAAACTTACCAATTAATTGTACATTGTCTTCGGCACGCATCCAACTCACATGTGTAGGTACAAATTAAAATTACTTATATGTTTGATAAACCATTAAATAAAATATTATATCATAAAAAAAAAACCATTTATGACATAATTACTGTCTTATAATGTTAATTGTTATAGCAATCGTATCGAAATAGATACTGTATTAATATTACTGAAAAAAGGTTTTTAATCGGTAATCATGTAGGTAACGTATTATCATCACAGTTTTACCAAATCAATAACATAAATTATAAATATTTCTTTACTATCGCGAATCGGCCTTACCGTCTGTATGTAGTAGAGATTATCAGTTATAACCTGTATACCTTGGGAGCTTTTACACTGTTATCATTTAAAACTCCCGATGTAATACATAAAACTGTCGGTGTAAAGCAATTTGAGTGGAATACACCACAACGGGTTAACGGAAATCAAAAATTCCAACACCAAAATTTGTTTTAAATAACACTCCATCTATTAATTGTATTTTCAAAATAGGTTGCCATTTGAAAATCAAAAGGAGGTAGTCATTTCACCCCCGAAAATAAAGGGTACAAAAAAAAAAAATGTCGATAAAAATTAATATTTTCCGAGATAATGAGTGTTTCCAGTTGAGTGAATCACTCTGAATAATGCAATTACTTATATGATTTCATAACCCTAAATTTTGACCGGATTGAATATATTTGTATTTTGAAAGAGAGAAATAAAATTATTGTTATTAGTTGACAAAAAAGTATAGATGCAATACATATAAAACATTTGTAAAAAGTATTGTTTATGTAACGATAAGAAACTGCATCGCGTTAAAGAATATTGAATTCTAGTATACTCGTAGATAGTATAATTATTTAAATTTTTAATTAAAAAAATTAATTGATAGGTAAATAAATTGATGTTAGACGGGTTTGTCTAACATCAATTTCGAATATTAAATAATTCCTGAAATCCATAATGTATGTAACAAAAACAAAAGAATAAAAAGTAGGTAGGTGTAAATGATAAATGTGTCAAATCAATAAAAATAGTACTTAAATCATTTGAATATTATAATGGCTAATATTATTATTATTACTTGTTTAAAAATTTGTTTTATATTCTTAAATATTAATTATTTGATTTTTATCAATTTTACTTATTATAATTTGGAAAAAAAAAAATTAAATTTGTGTACATTGTATTGTTCTATGCATATGTACATAGAATCAGATGCCAAATATCCAATCATACCTATAGTTTTCATAATACATAAAGTGTCAATAAATTTGTATATTAAAATATAAATATGCATAAACAGTATAAATCATTGTGCAAAAATTGAAAATATACAAAATTCACTACCTAGGTAATGGAAAATGGATTCCGAATGTTGGGGAAGTATAATATTTATATTATTGTAATTATTGATTTACCTCAATGTATTTAGATGTTGTGAACTGTTAAAATAGTTAAGTACTTTTCACGATCTCTATATCTGAAAATGTTGGTGAGTAGATGCAAAATGCCAATAATGGTCGTAGGTATTTAATGCCCTGGTAGATAAAAAAAAAAAAATTCCCGCATCAAAATGTATACATAATGTTAACAATTTAAAAATTATGACTAGGTATATTGAAAATAAATGAAAAATTTTTCCTGTATACGTCAGGATGTTAACTAAATATAATGGTTATGCCACGGTTACGGCAACGTTGGTAAACCAGAGTTCAAACAAAAGGTTTCACTCTCAGTGTGCTCGTTAGGTATGTAGTGAACGGTAAATACTAAATCGTGAATTTATGAAACGTCAAGGTCAACTACACCTATCTAATATTTTGCATGATACAATTTTACTATGAATTTTTGTCGTTTTTATGTTCTTTGATAATAACTGCCTTATCTGCAGCAGGGCACAGGATATCATGGAAATAACGCAAATTAATGAGGGAATCTGAATAATTAGGCATAGACATAACAGTTATATTATGTTTATGAAATTAAGTATAGGCATTGGGATTTCACGTTGAAGATATCTGATAATATATTCAATATTATTATACATTGCTAATAATGAAGTAAAACACACGATCTTGATTTATCTAAGTCCCTTGGATCATAATATTATACTATGAATAAAGCCGTCAGCATATATCACAAGCTATCATAATCTCATCTGATAGTAGGCAAAAATGTACACGAGTGCAGTCAGATTGAAAACGCAGTGACCTCTAAAAATCCGAAAATGTTTTATTGCAAGATATATTTGAAAAATAGATTCTCGTTAAAATTTGATCCGAATATTTTCATATTTTAATGGAAACTTATATATTATCACAAAAGTATTAGTTAAGAAAAGATAATGTAATGTAGGTACCTATGTAAAATGTTTGGTTTATCCGAAAAGAAATTGCTAAACAATAATTTAGCCGAAATTTTGTTGGTCCCTAATGACGATTTAAGATATATCTTAAGGTTAAAGGACAAAGTGAATTAATAAGGTGTAAATATTTAGCTTAGATTACTGCAATTAAACGAGTCGCTATGTTCGCAGCCTACCCCATAGATGGTCAGAAATGTTGTTAAGTTTTTGTATGTAGATTAATGGCAATATTACTATGGGGTTTTCTTTTCAAAGTGCATTTAAAATGATAAACGTATGACAATAAATTATGATATAATAATATCAAATAGTAATTTATGATATTATTCATAAATAATATAATATAGGTAGATACCCATTTACCTGGTTTAAGTACCTACTGCTTGAACAATTTGACATGATTATTACGAGGTAACACACCGACAGATACACTAATGAAACTTGTTTATAGCTTGGAAATAGCTATAATCAATTTTCCAAATAGCAATCAAATAAATACAAATATTTTAGAATATGATTAGTATTTATCTAGTGTGCACTATAATGGATTATACATTTATAAACTCTAAATCTACAGTGAATTTTAAGTGGATTTAACGTTTAGTTTTTTTGACATTGAATCCATGTTATTTAAATTTTATAGTTTTGATTCACTATAAAATTAAAC